TGGCTTGCACGGACCCTTTATGCCATAGGTGAATGTAGATTACATGCCCTGTGTTTACAGATAACAAGGATACTGAGAGGAATCTGTGTCTATTTACAGTAGTAGTAGATACAACTCGCAAGATAACAAAACATACTAAATTTTAACAGACTTACTAGAAAGTGTTACTAAAGTCCTTGCTGTCTCCTGCCATTTCCTAGTGGCCACTTAGCAGCTGGGTATTGTAAAGCGGTCTCCTTTCGTACTCCCGTATGTTTACAAGTATATTCCAAAATACTGTCATAAATAATTAAAATTGACACCTGTCACATTCAATGAGTGCTGTGAATTTTGCAGAGCTGTCTCTTTGATTTCTGCTTTTCTTCCAGCTCATTGTTCACTAACCTCATTCATAAAATGTGAGTATTCGCCACAGGTCTTTCACACATTAGTGAGCTCTTAACGGTAAAAGAATTTTGAAAAAGAATATTTCTAATGTGTATCTAGTTCTGCATGAGAGATCTTGTTACATCAGCTTCAGCATATACAAAGTTGTATTAACAAAACTAGGCAAAAAAAAAAATATATCTGCACATACAGAAAAACCAAACAGCTCCACGATGAAAAAACTCCCATTTCCTAATGAAGAAAAGTATGTGTATCTCATTGCAGCTTAAGAACTTAGCCTTGAGCTGATGCTGTTTCTTAAGTTAAGAAAAGTAGTGGTGGAAGTCTGTGATGTTGAAGGGTTTCTCTGTGGAGCTGTAGCCTCAAGGAGGAGGAAGTTTGTGCTCCCTTGCCATGGCGCTGGCAGCTGGATCAGTGGCTAGCTGTGGTGAGGCTCCGTTCCAGGGACTTGTTGCAAACTCTTCGTGCTGTGGTTCTGAGTCCTGCTTTCAAATCAAGAGGGATGAGTAATGGAGGAGAGTGACTGAATAATAAAGTTAGTTTTAGATTTAATAGTACTATAAACTGCCTGGGAACTTTTTACTGCATTTTATGAGACAAGGACCTAAAATGAAACGAAATAAATGTGGAAGATCTGAGAAATTTCCTAACAAATATCCAATAGTGTAATGAGAACATAGAAAATATTCATGAAAAAGTGTTCCTCTCTAAAATCCTTTGAGAACAGAACTTGAAAGAGCACATTTTTATTTTGGAGGGAGTGTGTATCGTTAGTGGGGTTTTTCAAAGTATCTAACACATTACATCAATTTAATTAACAAAGAGAAGTGACTTTATGTTATAGTTCATCTTTCATACTTACTAGGGGTAGAAGGAAAGGAAAATCAATAATAGCGATTTCATTGAAAATGTGAAGATTTGTGAGGGGACAGAAACTGTTATAAATAATGAGTTTAATTTGAAAAACACTATCTTTTTCCAGAAAGTTTCTAAATGTCTGTGATATTTTCAGAGTTGACTATCTTATTATTTTTTGTTTCCAAATTACAGTTTCATTTCAAAAGTGATTTTTTGTTAAATGCTGAAAAAGAAGTAAAAAACTCACACACATCCACTCATACCTTGCCTCAAATGAAAATGTGCAGATGTATTTTGAACATCTGATACTAGGTGAAAAGAAAAATTCTCCAAGTCTAGTATTTCTTGGATAGCTTATTTCAAAAAATGGTTTGGGTACAAACTCTGCAAGTCAGTACAGTTATAGGGTTCTTTAAACATGTCACTGTTATTTCCTACGGAAGGAACTGTTAAATAAAGAGTTTATGTAGTTGAGTAGCCATGTGTACTGTGTACCTAAGGAAATTTGATAAATGGATCACCTTCTCATCATCTCCCCTTCTCTTCCTCTAAAGTTAGAGTTCTGGCAAGGCAGAAATCAAGGAAAGCCATGGGCTTTTGGGATCTGTAAAATCCTGTTTGTTTCTTTGATTGCCTACAAAGGCAAATGTCTACAAAAGCAAAATATATACATGTTTATAGCACTACTGCATTCAGTCCATATATACATGTTTATAGCACTACTGCATTCAGCCTGTAGTTCTGTAGGAGCCCTCAAGAGATTTCAGTGGTCCTGAGAGCAAGAGTCTGTGGCCATGCTTCATTGCGTGGGGGAGACTGCCCTCAGTTGTTCTATTCTTCTGCAGGGTATGACTCGGAGATCCTCGCAGATGGGCACAGGAGCATTGGATGAGGTAGCTTATGCACCTGAAATCTTCTAACCAGCTTTGCTCATCAGAGCTGGCCCAGACGTTGCTGCGCAACGCTGCCTCATGCTGTGTAGATGTGTCCTGGTAGTCTGGCTCCACATCTCTCAAAAGGAGATAATAGTTCTTCTGAAGCGTAGATTATCTGGGGAATAACCACAGCGCCACCGGATGTGAGGGGAGCTGTATAAACAGAGAAGTGAATTTAGATGCTTAACATAAGACACATTTATAAATACAACCCTGTGGACCAAAACAAAAATGAACTAGGACACCTGTGTAAAACTCAATATGAGAGTAGAATACTGTAGCCACAGTTTTTAGCCTTTTGGGTTTTTTTTTTGCAGAAATCCTTCTCATCCATATATCCTCTTCAGAACCCCTGGAGTGCTTACTAAATTATGGCAGTACATGATAACAGGTAGTTTATACAAGTTAACTGCAGGAGATATATGTGTTGTATTGCCTTCACTGGGACTGCAGGAAAAACGGTGAGGGTACCTGAAATGTTGACTTAATGGACAATAATTTTTCCATCCATAGGGAAACACAGGCATCGTTCATGTATTTTTGCTTTTATTAATAGCATTTTGATAGTCTAGTTATAAAGTTTACCCTTGACTTGCCTTGAAATATCATACTGAGTTCACTTATTACAGAATGTTACTTTAATTTTCCAAGGTGAAATGTTCACAGTGCAGAAACTGATGAGGAAAATACGGCCCAAACAGTTACATATACCTTTATTTTTTAAATGCTGTCTGGAAGGGTTTGCAACACTCTCTGCTGAGCCATAAATTGACCTAGACAGTAAATGATACATGACCTTAAAAATATCCAAAGTATCCTTGCTTGAGAATTTTTAGTACAGAGTTATTAAATGTCACGGTAATTTACAGAAGTGTAGCCTGGTTTATACTTCTGCATTCTCTCTCTCTGTCTTCTCACCACCATGCCATCCAAGAACCTTAGAAGCTTTAAAAATTTTTACATGTATCTCATTTTTTTCCTTTTTTTAAATCATAGAGTATCATTTTATTATATTTATCACACTCTGAAAATCAAGTCAAATGGAAAACTATAATTTAGCTCACAAAGGCCTGATCCAGCAGAGCACTTAAATACCTGCATAAATTCCTCATGATGACATTTTCCATTGCTCGTTAACTGGCATTTAAAGGAAATTTTCCATTGCTTGGTGTCTGGACATTTAAGGGAAATTATCAACCAAAATGGGTCAGCTGTTTAGAAGAATTAGGTCAGGCAATGAACATGCTACAAGTTGCAGAGGTCTGTAGTGAGCCCTACACCTCCACTCCCTCACAGAAAGCAGGAGATAGCTCCTGGGCCGGCCTTCTTTTAGGTATGTATTATAACGTAGGCTTAATTCCACAGCTGTCTTTGTTTTCCAGCGCTCAGGGTGAACTGCATTCAAGAGGTGAATCCCAGTTGTGTAAGACTGCAGTGTTTGTAGGATTTCTGCTTTAAATCTTAGCTGGGCTGGTTAGCGTGAGCGCACTGCTGCATGGAGGCAGCTCCCTGGC